CCTTTTTTTGGTTTTCCTTACCCCCTCTTTTTTTTCGTTTAGCAAAAAAAAAAAAAAAATACAAATTATGCACGCCTCATCCCACGACTGTAGGCTTCCATCAACGCCTATCGCGTTCACCTGGGAAGTGGAAAAATTACAATTATGAACGAACCTTATCTACATCAATTATATGAGAAAATATCGTTATTATTCATTGGTCCATTAACCATCAAAAAGATCACGTGCTATCAGGCTGAACAGTTTTGAAATTATCATATCAAGACAATGGTTATGTGAATAGATAGGTGATTGTGTGCTTTTCTCCGCCGAACAGTGTCAATCAGTTGTAACAACGAACCTTGGCATCTTTGAACAGATGCAATCCTGTTTTCAATTTGAATTTCAACCGCTTTTTCAGGCTAGCCTTTTCATCTTTGTCTAGCCCATTCCCACTAGCAGTATTGGCCACAGTTTCAGATAATGACTCTTCTGAAACTACCTCCTCATTCACCATATGTTTCAGCTTATTTTTCAGTGACTTGCTTATGTTCGCAAAAAAAGTATTCGATTTGGACGATGTGTCGGATATTGTCGTAGCACTTTCAGCCAATTCATCTGTTCGCTCAGACGGTTGACACAATGCAACTTTACTGGCGACATTCTGCGCAGAACTATTAATTTCATATGGGTTTTGCTCAGTCACAACTCTACCATTTATGACATTCGTTTCCATTTGAACGATTGCTTGAGATGTGATGGATTCGTTTACGTAGCTATCGATTTGATTTGTTTCCGATTGATTATGATCATTTGTAAGTTGCAAATCATTTGAGTCGTTGAAAAGAAGACGTAGAATATCGGATGATATGGATTCATTTGAACTTGTCGGACTTGGTTCGGTTACAAGGTTTTTAGTAGTAGGCAAAACATCGCGTAAATCAATTTCAGTGTAAATATTACTATTAGAAGCATCAGAATTATCATACAATAACACACGGTTGTCGTTCAGACTCAATTTCATGCAATTTACCGCTGATGTTCGCTTCGATTGCGGCATCGATGAGTTCGAGGCATCATTTTGTGTTGTGGTTACACCGTTTGCGTTGCTGTTTGCTTTTCGCTTGAATGCTTTGATCATTGACAGCACTTCATTACTTTTTTGCAGAATAAACGTGGCGGCCGCATGTGACATCTTACCAAACCCAAAACCCAAACCAGAAATTTGCATTAAATGTATGTAGAAAATATGGTGGCATAGGCAATTGTAGAAGGATACAAACCCAATTGACCCATTTAAGCGTAAACAATTCTACCATCATATTTCAAACGTGTGCGGTTACTTACCGGTTGCTGATCATTGTTGCTAATATTGTTCTCAATGAAGCTCGGATCAACGGAAATGTCATCACATCCAGACGGAAGCTCTTCACAACCAACGTCATTCAATGCAGTCTTTATCAAATCGGCCATTTTGAGCATTTGCTTCTCCTGACACCGCAATATTGCCACGTCTTTCGAATGTCTATACGCGAAACAAATCACAGAGAAATATGTCATTAACTAATTAACTATGCAATCATTGATATGCTAGTAACACGCACTTGTTATTTTCCTTTCGTCCGATTCCATTTGTTAGGGTTGATTGAATGGAAATTGAAGCATTTGTGCCGTAGTCCGATTGAACTTTTGTTTGTTTGTCTTGACAATCTTTTACGGAGGTCTCGAGTTCGATGAGTCTATTGCGTAACCAATCAACTGTCAAATTATCCACAGTCAGTGTGTTCGGTTGAAGTTTTCCTAACGTGTCTTTATCTTCTATAAGCGTTTGATCAAATTGAAACACAATCGGTGTTGGTGGTGATGTTCTAATGGTACGAATTTGCAGAATGAATGGATTCATCATTAAGTGTTGAACGTGACGTGATCAAAATATGAAAATGAAAAGAAAGAAACTGAATGTCGTACTTATGCCGTTCAGTAAACTCTCGATACTCCTCAGCCGGGTGAATACTTTGTATACTGCTTTCTATTCTTCTCTGAATGTCTTGGAAAGAGTTTGAAGTCAGATCACTATATTGGGATGTTTCCTGCAAGATGCTCTTCCTGCAAATGGTCCAGTATAGATAGAATTTAATTACAACGTATTTACTAGACAATTAGAATAGATTATTCGTTCGTGCGAATAAGACGTACCAGACAATGACGAATTCTTCTTGTATGGATTGTTGATTTTCCAATAAGCCGGGCAATAGAATTGTTCGGAAGTCCGTTTCGACTTCGGAAGCCTCACTTATCAGTAAAACGTATTCGTTATGCGCTAAATGAAGTTTTCGACATGCTTTTTGGTATTTATCACGAACATCGTCTAATTTTCGACCACCCCGACCAGCTGAAACCGATATAATGTACTGTTAGTGAATCATCGATAATTAAATCATTTCTTTTGAATAAACGGGCAATGACTCAACGAGCCTTTCGTCTGCGATAGAATGGATTTTATATGATCTCAAATATTTCCAATATTTCGATCGAATTGTTGTGTTTCTCGTGTCTCGCACCACAACGAAGTTTCCAATTTGTTTACCTTTTATGTAATGCTCCTCGAACTTCGATCGCAATAGTTTGTAATATTCTAGGTGTTTTTGGTATTCACATTTTTTCCTCGTCACATCTTCTGATATCTGCAAATCGAAAAAAAATAATAATGAAATAATTGAGCTTATGATTCAACAGGAAATTGGAAAAATGCAAATGAAAAAATAATGCCTAAATATACAAATTGAAAGGTTTAACATAAGTTGCACTAAGAGTCATGCAACCATTATTATCGCCGATTTGATCATTTCAAAGCGTCACCTGGTGATTGATTGCAATCTATCACAGTTTAATAAGTAATTTACTGCTCTAACTAGCTACAACTTACGAATGATGCCTATTTTACTAATCTGTCTCCAGATGGCGTACGCCCTGGAGTTATTATTGGCAGCTATTAACGAAGCGTGAGCAATTGAATTAAAAATTTTAAATCGTTGCCGTAATTTGGTTTGTGAGCGCTTTTGTGTTTCCATCAACACACCGTCGTTCATGCCAAACAATAATAATTAGTAGTCGAAATAATGACAAATGTTACGTGTATATTTATCACCCTCATTGGCTTTTAAGCTTTCATTTAAGTGAATAATTCTCTCACGACTGATGACTGAAGTGATTTAATTATATGTAAAAGAAATTCATGTGTGCATGAGCGTTGTGAACACACCACACACAGCTATTGTTTGTTCGCTGAAATTATGATATTATTGTGTTGTTACTTTGCATTGCGTCGTCAATTGTCATGGAATCGCTTATTTGGGAAATTGCATCAAATGAATTTCAAATTGTAGCGACGCACTGAAAAAAGATTGCGAACATTGACTCGAAAAAAACAACAGACATATCAATTTGGATGTGAAAAATGGAAAAGAGCGCCAATGAATACTCGAAACAAATGGATAAAAAGAGATAAAGAGAGAGAGAGAGGAACATATATTTTATTCATCAGCTAGAAACTGATTCGGAGGTCAGATATCGGTGATGGGCGAAATCGATTCTTGTTCGTACTTCGCCCATAGAATTCTAAGATCTTTTTCCGCTAAGCGTCAGTACAACCATCACCGTCACATCATCTTGCACTTTTGTGTCAGGCCACCACAAATGCTTTTCTATTGGTCGTATCACAATTTTTATCGCATTTATACTAGATGCGAAAAAAAATATTCTCATCCCACACGCGATTACATCATCGAATTTAATTTCAAGTATGCAGCATCCCAATTTCTCTGTTGTTATCGCATCGTATCGTCTTATTCTTCTTTTTTGCAATGGTTTGTTTCTTGTTTAATTACTTGCAATTAATTGGCAATAAGTCGGCGATCAGTTATCTACTTGAAATGCACTCAAATGGATAGGTTCTCATTTTAAGCAGTGCATAACGTAGATAAACAGTACGGAAAATAGTTGATATTGGAGCAAGGAAAGCTGCAATTTATGCTAAAATCGGTTCAATGGCGATAAGTCAATAATGATCACATTTTGTTGTACGCTTTCTAAATTGCAACCTGTTGGACAGACTAAATACTGAAAACGTTTTGAGTACGAAAAATAAGTGTGTTACAAGCACGCATAGAATACAAAGATGTTGGACGTTATGACGTAAATGTTGCTCAATTCAGGCAACAACAAACGAACGAAAAAGAAGAAGAAAAAAAAAACAACGAAAGAAATACACAAAGTATTCAAAGTGCGCAGACAAAGAATTGAATCGCTTTATATTTCGTCGTGCAACAATTGCTTGATATTTCGTTTGTAACGTCAAAAAAGTGCGGGATTCCACTTGAGAAACTCTCTCGTATTGTTTCATGCATTCAAGCAAGAAGCAAACAATAATCTCATTAGAAACCATGAGAACGCAATCAATATATGTAATGAATTGTGTATGGAAATTTGGCCGGTCCAATTAAATTCAATTAGAAACTAGCACATTTGCACAGAGTCACAGCAGCACATACACATACTTACAAAAAGCAGGCCAGACGAATTGTACACACATCCAAACACCATACATAGCGTAGATAAATTTAATTATTGTTTAATAATATGCACTGCCTCAAGTGTTATTTCTTTTCTTCCTCTTTCTCTCTCTCTCTCTCTAACATATTCTTCGTAGTTATTTGCCTTTTACATCTTCCATTTGTTGTTGTCGCCGTCGCTATCGCTGCCGTTCTCACCCTGATCACGCAATTTTTCTCTCCGACAGCAATCAACAAACAACAACACAAAATACATGCCCGTAGTTCTAGATAAGCTTACGGTTTCTTAAATAATGCTGTAAAAAGATTGAATTGTGCAATTTAGTTGTGTGATCTCACTGTTATTACTCATTTGGAATAAGTTGTTGACACTAACGCACAACGCAAAATCCCAGGAGAAAGAGAGAAAAAACAACAACAATAACAACAACCACAATGAGCACAAAAACGGCCGAGAGAGAAAGAGAGAGAGAGAGAGAGAGCAAGAGCCAAGTTTTAACTTCAAATGCAGTGCTATGTTCATCGGTATTGTGTGGCCGTCAATGTGTGTATTAAAATAGATGTTCTGTTAGTTTATTTGTTTCTTCGGTTTGATTTCTGAATTTGAAATACGGACAAATGTATGGTGTGGTGTTGGTTGGCTTGCGTGCCCGTTGTGTGTTTGAGCAGAACTAAGAACATGCATGTGAATGCATTTTTTAAATATTTTATGCAAGCGAATGAAGAACCAATTCTATTCAAGAATTTACAGTTGCTAATTCTCCGCATCGTTTTTTTTTTTCTTTCTCTCTCTTCTCTTCTCTACTTGCCATTTAATTCTCTTCATCACTCCAATGCTCTTCAATATTTTCTCTTCAAAATTCTGGTTGCTTTTTTTTTCATTCACATGAACGATGGAGTGGTTTAAAAATCTTGTTTGCCAACTTTAACTAACGGATCATAGTACAAATAACATTTTTATTTTCGTACGAATCATATGAAGTTGATGAAGCCATTGAAAACAGTAGTAGAATGACAGCAAAGCACAAAAAAGTGTCCGACACATTCGAAGACTGTACCGAAGTAAATATTGTTAACATATGTGTGTGTGTGTGTGTGTGTGTGTGTGGTGATGTGACTGCGCGAATTTTGTGTGTGCCAACGAACCAACCCCAATACATGCGATCAGCAGAGAGTTCTTTGACATAGACGATGTATCGAATCATCTGACCGCCGATACGATAGCAGAAGATGCGTTGATTTGTGCTTAAGCATTATTTCTTTGTTTCATTGTTGATGGAATCTATTTTTATTCCAAACTCAAAATGGAATTACGACTGATCAAGAAAGTCACCATCATCAATCATTGCCCGAATAACATTTGCAAACGGGACATTCACGATCAAAAACAACAAACATATCAAAATAATATCCGAGCATTGCTTACATCTCTTCGCACAATAATTTATGCAAATCGATATCGTTTGACAGCCACGCAAAAAATTTACAAAAAATACGTATAACACACACAAACATACACACGGTGAAGAGAAAAGAAGTCTCACTTTATATAACAAATGTATTCTATATTTCACTATATTTATTTTCGATTTCTCTTATAATAACACACTCTTTTACCGAATTGGTATTCCGTTTACTCATTCGATTCGGGTTCCGTTGGGAGATGAATCACTGTGAACCGCTGTCGCTACAATAAAATTCAATCCGATGAATTCATTAATGAGAGCAAACATAACAGCGATCAATGTATTGGTTCAAAGATCAAGTTCATATCAATCAACTTCGCACAATGTTTTTTTTTTTCTTCTTTAAACAAAATATATTTTCACCAAAAACGCTGCAGATAGGTTTCAATAAATGTATTCTGCATGTAGTTGACCGATTTTTTTTTTTAGCGGCCTGTAGTAATTATCAACTTATTGACTGCATTTTGTTCAGTGGAGACCAACGAGTTTAGATGGATTCGTGAGTTTGTTATCATCAATTTCGGCTACAGTTGGTTAGTCTACAGTAGCTTTTGATAATGTTTGAACACTGACTATTATCGTTATCGTACAAGGACAACACACTTATCTATCTTTCAATTAAAGATATTTTTACGCTGTTTCACTATTCATTTGTATCGATTTGTATCCATCGTAGTACCGCGAGTGTTTGCAAGTCATCTTAAAGGTGTGCGATTTTGGTGTGAACTATACAATGAAAAATATTTTTGATAGGAAAATAAACACGATCCATTTCATGTTTTCACAAGCTGCCAATATGGACTGTGGCAGTGCATGAATTATAAACAGAGAAAACAGTAAGCAAAAGATGAACCGTATGTATTTAGAGATGATTTCATGTTTATTGCAATACGATTCTTCGAGTCAGAAATAAAAATAAAATCAAAAATTTATTCGTTCCGTACGAAATTCACAGCTTGAATTGTATGCCAAACCATAGCTATTATTTGTTACCTAAATATATACATACGATCATATGAATATATATGTGAAGCGATTAAGCCGAGTAATTTTGTATGATCTCGTTATAGTACAGCCCATTTTACAAGCCACAGAAATGCCGGCTGACTGGTTGACTGGCTGGCTGACTGACTGACCTGGATCGTTTCAATACTACTTTTTTTTAGAAGAAAATCCCACTAAAATGTGTTAGAATTTGATATTTTATTTTTTTCTAGGATGACCCATTGAAATGTAAAGTCTTTGATGGAGCTATGCATTTTACAAAACTATAAAATCGGTAACACTAAATGTTGCGTGCAATGCCGGTTGTAATAAAACTAAGCGAAATGAATAATGTATCGGAATGTTCTACTAAAAAGGATTAGTTCTATTTGTATTAAATTGTCTAATTTAATGGGACTGTCATTGGGTATTTTACAAGCAGTTTGCGAATGAACAGTTCAAATCAAATTTGAGACAGCTTGATTAGAGTGTGTGTGTGTGTGTGCCCAACGCCGCATTTCAAAAGCTAAATGAAGACACAGCAGCGGCATCGTAGATTCTATAAATAAATGGATGCTTTCCATTTAAGAGACAAAAGAGTCACTTGAACATTCAACATAATCAAATCACATCGAGTCCCGATCATTTTATTGGCGCTCATCGTGGCGTGTGTTGGTGAATTCCTAAAAAAATGCCTTCAACCATTTTCAATTCAACGATTCCCTATTTATTGTAATCAAATCACGTTAGTATATTCCGCGGCAAATAAAGCCGGAATTTTTTGAAGTAAACATTTCAAGAAACACGTGTATGTTCTCGTGAAAGCACGCGTAGGAGTTAGATAAATATTGAATAAGCGTCCAAAGAAATTGCATTTTTATCGAATTCATTTCTGTTTTGTGAATTTGTGACCGGAAAGCCTTAAATTTAGTTTTTTTTTCTCCAATGCAATCATGACAGAAATGAGTAAATAGAAACAGAAGTTGAGAAAAAATAAATAAATAAATAGAAACAACCGTTTCACCGTTTAAGAGCCATTTGAGCATTCTCCACGTTTGCAATGTTTAAAATTTATTTTTTTATTCATTCTTTTATCTATGAAACTGACAAAGTGTCCTTTTTTCCTAGGCTTAATTTGCGCCATGGGGAAAAAAGTAAGTAAGATAACAGCCGAAAATCATACGCCAAAACGACAAATAGAACCTGTTGTTTTCGAGCATTCGATTCGTATGCAAAGTACTGTAGTAGTGTCACATGAATTTCAAAAGTACAAATATCATTTGTAAACAAAACGATTCGTATACACACACGCACACACACACTCACGTATATGTACGAAAGTATGTGGTCTCTTTGTTGGTTTGACAAGCAATGTATTTATGGCACCTTGTGATAAGCACATGCTGCTTCTTCTTTTTCTTCTTTTTTTGTCATTTAGTACACAACATACAAATACTTCCATTTAGGTTGAAAGAAAGAGCCGAGCGCTTACAGCACCGAGAAGAATGAAAAAAATTGTTCATAATTTATAACTGGTCATTAGATGTCAATGGAATGCAAAATGAGGAGAGAGAGAGAGAGAGAAAAGTAACGAAAACATACATGCGTTCCGTTTCAAAAGCCTGATCGTATGGGACATTGTTAGTAAAAAGAAGAAGAAGAAGAAGAAGAAGAAGAGGCAGAGAAAAGGTGAAAGAGAAGTACTACTTTTAACTTGTACACTGCTGGAATGTGAGCCGTCCACTTGATTCATTTATATTAATAGTATTTTTGTTTCGGTTAGGGCAACGATATTTTTCAATGTGTCTACACTTCTCAAAAGTAACCATCGAAAGTGACTAATAAGCGCAATTATATAAAGTAAAAACTAAGACGTTCGAGATTATGTCGTTATGTTTCTTGATTTATTCGTCATATTTTTAAATCAGGCAGTTGGACAGGCTTTAGAATACAGCTACTTTTATATATCGCAACAAACGCATAAGCGGTACATGGCAAAGCGACACCAAATTTTGCTCATATTCTTTTTATTTGAACGCAGTCAGTTTTAATTAAACAAAAAAAAAATGTAGAAACACCATACGATTCATAACACTATGTTTATGTCATTCAAAGAGATTTTTTTCTTCTTGTGTTCTTCTTTTTCTTAAAGAAAGACTTTAAACTTGAAAGTTTACGTATATAAATTTGAGAATTCATTTATGCGCAACCGTATGAAAAGATGATTTGCACAGAATAACCGCACAAAACCGAGAATTCCATTTATATAGCGTTATTTTTTTCTTATTCCATTCAGAAAGACATGTGACGACAAGAGCAACGAGATTGATCGCAAAAAATTATGTTGTATGTATATTTTAAATAAAAGGTAACTTACATTGGTGAAATGTGTCGCAATTTTCTGATGTTCTTCTTGATAATTTTTACGTGCCTTCCGCTTATCTTGGTACAAATGTGTTAGCTTATCTTGGCACAAAGATTCCAAGAATTCGGCATTCGACTTAAATTGCTTCGCTGTTTGTTCCCATTCTTCCATAAACGAACGCCATACTTTCATTATTTGGCTTCCTGTAAAATATGCATATAGAAGGTTTTTTGCTATAATTACTAGTAGACTCAGTGTGTAGTATGTGTATGTGTGTAATCGTGAAAAATATTTCAGTACGATTGCAACGAAAAAAAAAAATGCATTGGCCGATTGCAAAACCAAAGGTACTAAGAATGTTTCAGTCATATTTGAAAAATACTATGCTGGGATTTGGAATATGCAGAAAAAAGAAGGAACGGGAAATTGTCCATCAAGATAATTGGTTGTTGGTGAAAATGAAAGGATCGTCGAATGTGCGCGCACACACGAATTGCGTATGCTGCTATGGCAATTTACTGCATAATGAATTGTTTGAGTATAAAACTTACCTTGCAAATCGTCGGCACGATCAATTTTAAGACCAAGTTGAGCGGCTGCCGTCAAAGCGACTGCGTATTCCTTATCACATTTTACTTTTTGTAATAAACACCGTTTCATTATCTCGAGCAATCGTAGTTCGGCATCTTGTCGTGAAAGCAATGCATCATGCGCTGATTTACCCGATGAAAACCCCATTTTCTCTTTGCCAAAAAGCGAGAAGCGTTTACTTTTCGTAGTGTCTCAAAATCTTTCAGCCAGATGAGGGCACTAGCAACCGCAACGAGATGCTGCACTAGCAAAGGCCAACACTTGAAGTCAGTGAGTCTTTTTCGTGCTGCGGTCACTTTATTCTCTCTTTCTCTCACCTTTTCCACTGCACTTGGTGCCGTTCACGACGACACTGCGATTCTTCGATGCGATTCAATTTAATTTTTGACAGGCTTTTTGCTTATATCCCGAGGAAGCCAGATTTTGACATTTCACTAGTTTCAACCGTTTCCATATTTAACGGCTTCAAACGTGGCTGCTACTCGGTTCGTTTTTGTCTCTTAATTTTCCAGTGCAGTCTTTTGCGATAAGAAATACCGATCTTCTAGTTTTCGTTGCACTTTTATTTATTTCGTTTCGTTCTATTTCGTGATTCGGTTTTTGTATGATTTTTTTCTCTTTCGTATCGCGCATGGAATACAACTTGCGCGCGAGTCAGTAAAAATCAAAAGAGTCAATTAAACACAATTTAAACGTTTTTGTTCCGGTCTACACGATTCGTTTGCGTCACTTCACACATTTAAAATAAACAGAAAGAAGAAAAAAAAGAGCAAAATTAAAAATTCATTAAATTTTTTCACGTGATTGTCAATTTTATCACCTACTGATTAGTATCTTATTAATTGATTAATTTAACTGCGATTTTCATATGTATAAAATCAACTACTATTTCAACAAATGCTCAATGTCTTCGATTAAACGAGAGTATTATTATTGACGCTTCGATGGGTTGCGTTTCGTACAAAATAGAACAGAGCCGACGATTCGAAAATTTGTTAAAATGAGTCACCGTCGCACAACGAGAGAGAAAAGCTGTACTAATGTAACACCTAAACCGATCTGTGAGTTGCTCATCTGTCGACACACGGGCATTCTCTCTCACTGCAACTGAAAGCGAGTATATGTGTACGAAGAAATGTGTATGTGCAAAAAAAAAGTGTCATGCACGCAACGGACAGTGAAATGCGGTGCGCAGAGTGGCTACTGAGATTATGATGGACCGACATTACCAGTGATTAAATATGACTTAACATTTTGAAAGACGCACAGTGCAGTGCAGTTCAATGCAGCGCACAACACGAAAAAAAAAACGAATAAAAAGAAGAAGTATTACAATAATACATGTTTAGCATGTCTCGTTTATCGAGAGTGAGGAGCAAATACATATGTGAGCATAAGTGGAGCGCAATATAAGGAAGACGGTGAGGTCTATGTTGACAATGGCAAAGACAAAGACGGCACGAAACCATCAACTTCTTGGAATCGATTGATTCTTCGTTGTTGCTGTTCTTTTTTTCTCTGCCTCTCTCTCTCTCTCTCTCTCTCTCTCTTCTGTTGCCTTTTTCTTTCGTGTTCTTTTATCCATGGCTGCATGACGAGTTTTATCGCTGTATAATGAAGAACGAAAGACGAAAAATAACCAGCCAAACGCAAATATTACATAAAAACCCGTGATTTGCTAAAGTGCAGTTTGGCTGTATGCTAACAATGACGCTATGGAGTTTGAGAAGCTTATGTTACAGCAATCTTCTGATTGCAAAGCTAACCTTCCACTCGTTTACTGAAATGTCATAAGGATTGAGAGAGCGGGCAGAGCATGCAGACCGAATTTAATAAACACCACCAAAAAACACTGAATTTAAGGTTCATATCTTGCGGACTGCAGTCAGAAATAGCTTGTTCAAAGGTTGATTGAAATGAAAACAATCCGTATAAACTCGAAAAAGAAAGAGAAAATGCTCAATCATCATATCAAAAAATAGGAATCATTTCATTTTTAATTCGCCATATTTGGCGAATGAAACGTTTATCTGTTTATGAAGGTTTGATAATCTAAAGGATAATACTATACCTAAAGCCTTGATGTAAATATCAAACTACTCAATTCTTGAATAAGCTACGTCGAAGAGTTTAGGATGAATTAATGGAAATCAAATTATTTAACACACCCACAATCAATATTTCCCCAACGAGCCAAGCAATCAATTGCCAAGTATGATAAAGTCCATGCACATGTGACAATTTGTAATTATGTGTTCATGTTAATGTACACACCTAAAATCAGACTAGGATTGGCTTTTCAAAGGCCCGGAATGATATTTATAATTGAGATTGCTAATCGAAACAGCAACGGTAATGATGATTTTTTTCGTCTTTTATTCATTTGTTTGCGTGCACTATATGACTATAAGTCGATGTATTAGATATTGAAACGGTTTTGAAATTGTAAAGCATTACATTAACAAAAGAAATGAGTTTGATCAAACACTGGAACCATATCTAGAACATACAAAATTCACGGCCAAGTTGAAGAAAGAATGCATCGATACATATAATTTATGGAGCAGTTCAGATGCATTTTGCTTAGTGATTGAATTGCTGTAGCTGTTGCTAGTTTTTGATTTGATTGGAAGATGAATGTATTGCGATAATTAATTGAAGGCGCAGTTATAAACTAAACAATTGGATGGGTGCAAATTAAACAGAAAAGAAAGCAAAGCAAAGCCAAAGAAGCAAATTGGCTGCCGTTGAAATGAATGCAAACCAAAAAGTGCGTACATCTCTACATTATGTTATGAATATGTGATTTGAATTAACGGCGTTGGCGAAAAACAGTCCGACATAATATTTTTGTTTTTCCCTCAATGTTTATGCTCATGTTGATTTCGTTTTGATTCATTCATTATTTGAATAAAAACTTTCATTTGTTACAGGCATACAAAAAACAAAACGCTATTATTTATATGCATTCAGAAAAAAGGCATTAAAAAATCGTGCGGTTTTAGCGTTGTGCGACTTACGAATCAATATAATTTTATATTACAGAGAACAGAGAGCGAGCAGAGAGCGGACGCAGACACCACCAACACCATTGCAGGAGCGCGGCGCAGCACAACACAATTTCGTGTGTGAAGTGAAAGAAAGAATTGTACATATGGAACGAACCAAAGTTAACTGAACGGTGGAGAGAAATAAAAAAAAAAAAAACCAGAGGCGAGAAGAGCGAAGAAGAAGAAATGAAACGAAACAATAAACTTATAAAATTTCAACAATAAACTTGTTTTGTTGTGTTACAATGCACACATAAGTCATATGTGTGTAATGCGCTAGAGTGCTGAACAACTTACACATGCGCGTCATGCGCACATAAAGACTGCAAACAAACACCAAACAACCGAAAACTGTACACACAGAATCCAGCGAAGAGCGCTTCACATGAACCCATTCTAATACATCTATTTAACTCTTTTTTTATCTGCCATCCACAAAAAGTGCTTTACATCGCACCAATGTGAATATTGAGTTTAAATCTATGCAGAGAGAGAGAGAGAGAGAGAGAGAGAGAGAGAGAGAGAGAGAGAGAGAGAACAAAAAATAAACGATCTATCCTTTATTCTTCGTCTTCATCATTTTCTCTGTCCGCTCCATTCAGTATGTTTCGTTTTAATTTGGATTGGATTGGATTGGATTGGATTCTGTAAGTCATCGTCATATCATCACTTTTTTTGTGTTGTTTGCCTTTAATTTAAGGACTTTGGGTTGTCAGTGCATTAGGCACCGCACGTCGCGCTCTTTACATAGAAGATGTGAAGTTGAACAGAATACGAATAAATATTTTTTTCTTCATTTCGATGAAATTCGAAAATTAACTAAATAAAAATTGTGGGTAATAATGAAAAGCCTCTCTTTTCTTTTTGTTGTTTGATGTAATAATGGTGTAAGCGGCTCCAGAGCAAGATAAATGAGATGCTCTCTGAGAAACATGACTAGATTTGTGCGCGCCTTCAAAATTGTTTTCTTTACTTTAATCACTTCACGTTTCAAATTAAAACTATAGATAATTAGGCGCGATATTGAACTATTCGACTCTCTCCCACTCTCTCTCTCTCTGCATTAGAATTATCATATACTATATGTGTATTGAGTACATGTTTCTCTTTCTTCAACAAAAATTTTTCAGTTTAGATCACCCTTAGAATGGTTGGTCTGTTTATCAACTTACAGCACAGACCGTGAATGAATAACAAAAAGTGTGATTCTGTCACAATATGTATTCGTTTGTGGCATAGATATAGATGCAACGAAACTATTGGATGATTGAACAAGCACGACCAAACCACCGATTCAAGTGTGCATCGAAAAGAAACAAGTTGTGTAAACAATATAATATATTAATCTCACTTGGATTGAGCTATGTTTGCGGTTCAAATGCATGGGAATAGTTATTTCAAAAAGATCCTAACATACAGCATTTCACTTCCGTTTTTTTTTTTTTGATTTGGTTATTAATTTTTTTCGTGTATATTTTTGATGTTTCAAAATAATATTTTCCCGTTCATTTCCTTTGCTCACTTTGCATATAAAATTGCCTTGTCGAACAACAATAGTCACAAAACATTGCTTCTTTTGGCACTCAACGGTGATCATCAATTAAATATTTCGTCAGAAGAAAACTTATTTCAATTAAAACAGCGCAAATAGCTTCGACTCATTTCGAAAAATAATCGCATCAACAATGTAAAAACAACCGAGTTAATATGAGAATCATACTCGGCCACCATTCATTCGGTTCAAAGACACGAAACGAAGGTAATCATAATCGTTTAGAACAACACTCTGAAGTGTCTGTTATTGTTTTTCCGCAATTTGTGTACACTTGTTTGTTGTTTCTGCGTAAAAACATATGATCGGATTTTGAATTTTGAATTAATATCGAAATATGCTTGTCAAATCAATAGTAATTAATTGCAAATGCATCACATCACATCGTACAAAAATCATTTTGGTTTTACAATAAATGAACATTTGTTAATCCGCGTAAATTTTCAACACAATCGAATAATGGAAACATTAGCATCGGAGCACATTTATTTATTTTTAACAAAATTGCGAAGTAGTTTAGTAAAAAAAAATAAAGATAAAAATAATAGTAAAATATTTAACAAATTTATTCACAATTCAAATGCACAGCAAAATCAATCTAGAAGCACACGTTTCACAGCAATAATATACGTCCAATCGCCACGACCATCAACACTCGATTCAATAAGAAATGAGCAAAACGAGAGCACACACAGTGAAAACAATGCTGCAGCGCACAACCAAAATAACAATACACCGATCGGCACCGACGAACGAGTAGAGTTTGTGTACTGCTGCTTATGTCTGTAAAGTTTCATGTGCGCGAACAACTAAAAACGACGAAGATGACGACGGAGAGTACACAAAACGCAAACACTCATACACAACAACACACTTTCAACAGGCTAAAAACTGTGTGTATGCGCATAACCTGTGCAGCACCGTCGCACCGCATACATGTGGACACAGTCACACACCGGACTTCTTTTTATTTTATTTTTTTGATTTCGTGTGTGAGCAGCAAACGGAGAAAATTCTTTTCGAAGCTACTTTGCATTCTTCTCAAACGCTAGCACACATCGATGTTGAACGGTTTTATTGTAGATAGCACATTATGGCTTTTTCTAAAAACTAAATACAAAATTCACGATTATACCAACGCCATGCCATTATTTGTTGTGGATCAGACTGTGTAATCGCCAAGCGACAAACAATTGGGAATGTATGTCGAGTAGTAAAATTTAATGACAATTCTTACTATTACTGCTACTGCTCAAGAAAATTTGTTTTATGCACATATATTGGCCGGGGCACATACGTTTTCTATATGCATTCACCAGAAATTTATTCCCATGGAGTCATTTCGCATTGCATACGGATTCGATTGAATTGAGAAAATGAAAAGTTCAAAGCAACTCGATTTATATATTGAAAAGAAAGGTTTGAACAGTGTCTTTGTTGACTTTAGTGCGCATAGAGAGATAAATTTAAAACATTTTCTCTTCGTCCAGTTTGTATATCTATTTTCGTATCACATTTTGTATCTAGTTATTGTGCGTTTAATGTCTGCCCATTATACAACACTGACGGAGCGCACTATGCACATGACCGTAAAGTTTTTTTTCTTCTCTATGATGTGACCGCAAGCAATATCGTAGTCGTTCAAAATAGAATGTCGGAATGCGTTATGCGTTCATCAAGTTTTCAAAGTTATTTGAGGCGTGCAAAAAAATGAACATGTTACCTTATCACCTTTACCCGTTATCTCGGATGCAGTACCACGCGTATGCGCTTGAAACAAGCAGTTTCTTCAATTCTTCTTGTAAGACAATCTTCTACTCATGCATGGTTTTTATTTTTTAATTTCACAATTCCTTTTTTAGCACTATATGAAATGTAGAGCTACTAATCTGCTTTTTTTTCTTAATACTTTTTGAGTGATGAAACAAATTATGGTGGATTTGAACTATAAAGTTCAAATTGCTCATATTTTTTATTTAATTTAAACCAAAGGCAGTATATTTCAAAAAAGAAATAAAACGAAGGTCTTGTCATTCATTTTGCAAATAAATATATTACTTCAAAGTAACTTTGATCAAATTCATTTCATGTAGTGCGCCAAAAAATAGTTTGTTGTGAAACAACAAAATAGATTAAATAAATAAAAACTCAAGAATGCAGAGCGGAGCGAAGCGAAGCTCTGCGGTCTTGTTTTTTATTAAAATGACAAGTAAATTTTCAGCAAAATCATACCGCTATTTGAATTTGCTTCGCAAACTAAGTGTTTTTTTTCTTCTAATTACCTCGAATTAAGAATAAATATCATGATTAAAATGTATTTTGTGATTGAATGTTTATTAGCAATCGACGTGTATTCATAGAGAAATAGGCTTGTTTAGGATTTTTCCAAGCGACAAATTGGATTGCTTTGAATAATTCTCAAATCGATCTTTGGCCCAATAAGATCTCGAATGTTATTTATGCCGTATTTGATCATGGTTGGCCGTTCCAATGACAATCCCCATGCAATCACATTCACATCGTCTGGCAAACCCATTGGCCGCAACATTTCCTTTCTGAACATACCAGAGTTGCCCACCTAAAATAGAATGAAAAAAAAATACCAACATTAGCATACAGCAGTTACATGAAATCATTGCATATTGATCGCAAGTAGATGTACCTCAATCCATTTCTTCAATCCCGGATGGAAGCAGAATATTTCCATACTTGGTTCAGTGTATGGGTTGTATGCTGGCTTGAATTCGATTTGTGTGATTCCAAGTTTCTTGAAGAATTCAGCAATCACACCGATCAAGTCTCCCAAAGTCAGGTTACGATCTGCCACAACCCCCTCGACTTGGTGAAACTCAGCCAAATGTGTGGCATCCAATGTCTCATTTCGGAATACACGATCAATCGAAAAATATTTAACTGGAACAAAGCCACCCTCCTGATTCGCTAGTTTGTATAGCATTCGTGCGCTCACCGCTGTCGTATGCGTTCGCAATAAATTTTTCTGTGCTTCTTCAAGTTTCCAATCATATCTGAAAGTACAAAGCAAAAAATAAAATCAAACAATGTCATGAAAATTAAATCAAATGTGGCTAAATGTTCAACTGACTTGTATCCTTGAGATCCGTAACCGCCATTTGAATGAACTTCCTTTACACGATTCAAATAATTTTCGGGAAACTTGTGGCTTTTGCTTGGTGTTGTCAAAAAAAATGTATCGTGTGCATCTCGAGCTGGATGTTGTTGCGGCTGGAAAAGTGCATCGAAATTCCAGAATGATGACTCAACGAAATTGTTTGTAGGCATTTCAGCGAAGCCCATCTCCAGGAAAATGTTGCGGAATTCAGTGCGAACTTTGAGTAATGGATGCAAATAACCAGCATCTGGAACTGTGCCTAACGCATCCAAATTATATGGCTTAAATTTCAACGTATTCCATAAGCCTGAAGCAAGCATATCCGTTGTCAAGTCGGCCTCCAGTTTTTGCAACGATGTTGCAAACTCGGCTCCTTTTGAAATGATGAAACTCTTCACAACGATCTCTTGCAACAGTTTTCTTTTACGATAGTCAGCACGGGCTGTATCATTAAGTGCTGATGCTTGACCTGCGTCCACCTGTTGGAGATGCTCTTGTACCGTGTCCGTGATAGATTCAACTTTTCGCTTCACAACCGGTTTGCCGATCGACTTATCAACCGAAATCCAGCCTTGAGCCATGGCTTTACTAAATCCAACCTTTGCATTTGGTGACACCTGACAATAATGCATGAATAGTAGTTGATCAACTGCAAATGATGATGCAATCTTAGCTTACCTTCATTAAATCGGATTGGGCGATTCCTTCGCTTGGAACTGCGTTGAAAACAACCGCTTCATGGCTTCCCTTTGCAAGCACTTCTTTACCTTCATCGCTCAATCCCCAATTTTTGTGTAATACTTGTTCGGTTTTCAATAGTTCACCATTGGCTTCAATACTTTTTAAAGCGCCGACGATTTTTTGATGATCAACACCAAATACCGGAACCAAATCCAACGTATCGACTTTGCCATTTTCATCGACGTACTTTAAAATTTGCTCCGTCAATTCAAGCTGCATGTTGAATATTGAAATTTGTTGCTGGTTTTCTACAAATCTGTTTGATTCGGCAATAGATTGTGAAAGCACACGTAAACAACACGTTGTTTAGGCCTGAAAAAGAACGGCAGCACTGACAGAGCCGCTGACTGACATTCAATGGAACGAAGACCAATTGTCAAATAACAAGCGCCATCTAGTAATTTCCAACATTCCAAGGTTTGTAACCTTTTTTTCGTATTCCATTTCATCGCATCGCATCAAACATTCATTGGACATGTGTATACTTCATTTGATTCGAAGATTATTGTTGGTGAGTGCTACTTGGATGAAAGATTATAGCAATTTCTATACAAAAGAATGGAATAATGTGGACAATTCTCCACAATTATCATTTACTGTGTTCTTAATCATTCATGCAGAATAAATGGCAGCATTGAAGTCGTAACGTTCCCGTTTGACTCAGAAAAATCAATGATAATTTTCATGTAATCTGTTTCTATCCAGAAAGCTATTTTTTTCTGCTCATATTGAACATAATCTTTTCAATAGTTTTTTTTTTTTCAAATCAAAACTTATAATTAAAATATGTACTGTCGAATGGTATCTAGTAAATTAGGTAGTTCGAAATTTATGAGTGAAGTTAAATGTTAATAAAACAGGTAAACATTAATTGTGAATGCAACAAATTTCCAAATATTTTATAAACAACAGTAAATGTTGACAGTTCGATTGGAATTGAGCACGTTTGACAAATAACAGGCGCCATTTTAAACCTTTCAACACTTTTTATTGGATTGATTTCAAATGAAGGACTTTCATTAAATTGCGATAAAAATTCTGTTCAGAAGCAATAGAAAATCATTCTTTTTCTATTTTTCCACAAAATCCAAAATCGTTTGCATTTTATTCCATTTATTTTCATACAAATGGACAAAATCGAAAGAAAAATTATCATTTCAATCTATTTAGAATGAGTCGTGGAGAATAAACGGTAACCCAAAAGCAATTTACTTCGTATAACCTTTCCTTTTGACTGAAACGAAGTATGAATAATCTGCATGAAATCGGCCCTTAACTATAGGAATAATTTTTAGATATCTCCATGGGCTCAAAGCTATTTTCCCGCTATTTATTTTTTTTTTCTTTTGTTTACAAAAATATTTTTCTTCTCCATTGTTTCCATTGGTTTGAATAAACAAAATGTCAAACATTACCAAGAGCGCCATCTTTGGGTACGTTTTTAACTGTGTTATTATTATTGGATGAAAATATTGAAATAAAAGCCAAAACTAATTTTCAAAGTGCCATTTATTGAAATTAAATCCCATATTCGGACACCTTTGATCGTAATTCATAAATTGTTCAAGCATTTTTCGAATATTACCAAATGAAAAGTGCATTCCAATGTATTTAAATCGAATGTGTCTAACGTACATTGTAATTACGAAACAGAAACGAAGTCAAGTCCACTTGTTGTTGTATCCCGTTTTGCGCTGGAACGGATATTGACGTGTTTTGTGAATCGATTTAGTTTTATCAGAGAGTCAACCGTCAGTGCACAGTGTTATTAGTTCAGTTTTTATTGTCATGTGGCCTGTGTTCGATTGTTTGAGCATTCAACTATTTATTTTATTCCAGTTTTCGTTGAAAAACTGACCAAATTTTCTATATTATTTTTCGTTCGTCGTTTTTTCAATTTGATTTCTTTCAATTGTTTACGCAAACTATTTCAGGCAACTATTTCGTGCAATAAAACGAAATATACAGAAAAAAAAATAAATGTCTTTAATTAAATCTGCACACTGATAAAAAAAAAAAGGAGACGAAACGAATTTATCCATAAGAAGAAAGCTACAAGCTTCGTTGAATTTGGTGACAGATTAAAAGTATTGTTTGAATAAAAAAGGAATATGTCATCATCGCATTGGGAGGAATTCTATGCAAATCATTTGCCACCGGCTGATTTTGAAGATAATCGGTCGCTTCTGAAGGAATTTTGTGACCGACATAATGAAGACCAGAATTCGATTGTCCTTGTCACGGTATGTATGCTCAATAAGCATTGCTCATATTTACAGGTAATATTGCTCTCATATGCTCACTGAGAGTGAGGTGAGTTTCTAATCCTTGCCATAAGTATGGTATTGATTTTGAGTTTCATAAAAAGTGCTTAGACCTTCGCGTCGTCTAATAATATCTTAATGGACGTAATCGGTAATTATTGTTAAGTGCTTTTGAATCCAACATATCATCAAATGTCACATAGTTACACATTCTCCGTTTTGTTGTTCGCCATCCATTCCGAACATTTTCATTATATTTTATGCTAATGTCTATTATGTTGATATGTGATACGGTTAATATAGTATGAGTACCGATTTCGAGGTAGATACCTGAAAAGTGTTGTTAGTGACACTTGTTTAAAAGTTGGAATCAGCATTTTTTTCGGGGGAAAAATTACTGCCACACATGAACAGTTCAAGAATAATTCATGATAAGATTGACGCAGACATATTTCGTAATTTGATTTGAAATTTCGATTTCGTTTTTTTTCTCTGCTCCTGTGATTAGTCTGGCGGAACGACGGTGCCTTTGGAGCATAACACGGTTCGATTTGTAGATAATTTTAGCGCTGGTACGCGTGGATCTGCATCGGCTGAATACTTTTTAGATCATGGATATGCTGTGATTTTTATGCATAGACAAAAATCGTTGGAACCATTTACACGACATTTTACGGGCCAACAATTCTTTGATATGCTCGATGTTGCTGAAACGATGGAAAATGGAGAAAGTGGCACACCTTCAATTTTTGGTAATTATCACAACGTCCCCGTTTCATTCATCGTTTGTTCGTATTTTTGTTGTATTCAAATGTAACTTAACCAAATTATCCATCCAATTTACAGTGAAGCCGGATTCGGTTGACGTGCTGGCACCAATATTAGCGAAATACAAAATTGCACAGGAGGCAAATAAAATACTGTACATAAACTTCACAAGTGTTGTCGATTATATGTGGCTACTGCGTGCTGCATGCGAATGTTTGGCTGCCTTCGATAAACGAGCTGTCCTCTACTTAGCAGCTGCTGTATCCGACTTCTATATTCCTTCCGATAAAATGGTAAAGTTCGTCAATACTCATAGCACATGTCATGCAACATGTATATATTAAGTGTTTGTTTGCATTTTCTCATTTCAATATACCTTTACCTTTAGCCAACGCACAAAATGCAATCAGGACATGGAGCACCAACGATTTCTTTGCAACTTGTGCCAAAAATGTTGGCTCCCTTGGTCAGTCTATGGGTACCGAATGCATTTGTGGTATCATTCAAGTTAGAAACGGATGAAAATCTGCTGATCGTCAAATCGCGTGATAGCCTGAATAAGTACAAACATAAGGTATCCTTCAAATAAATGGATTTCATTCATTATGCACTTAATTTAACCCTAACTTATCAATTTCGAATAGCTGGTAATTGCGAACATGTTGCAAACAAGAAAGAGCCGTGTTATATTTGTGACACCAACCAGTTCGTATGAAATCAATCTGACAAGAGACCAATTGTTAGCTGGACTGGAGATTGAGGAGTTCATTGTGGCGGATGTGGTGTGTTCCGGTTTTAATGTTCATTGTTCATATTTTCATTCTATGACATTTCATTTCATTTCATTCAAGCCATTCGTTTCTTTCCTCCCCATATGAATGTCGTCGCTAATCTGTTGTTCTTGCTTATTCATAGGTGCAAAGTCACGAGGAATTCATGGCCGCAACACCTTTACAATGACCTGTTCGTCGCAGAAAACAGTTGCGAGTCGACTGCAAAGTGACGATGCCACATTTTTGCCGTTTGCTGAATCCGGGAGGAGCTGGACTTAAGAGGAAATTCTAAATATATTATTTTCACGGGAAAAAAACAAAACAAGATTGTTTTTTGTGAGCAGGGATGTTTATAAGAAGTCGAACAAACAGTATGACTTTGTGTGTTATTTCCATACAAACAAACAAACAGAGACTTGTTTTGTGGGCGGTTGGTTCAAAGTGTGTTTTTTTTGTATGGGATTGAAAAAAAAAACATGAAATTCTGTTTGACAACGTCTAATTTGTTTTGCTTGAAATGACATAGATCTGATTCAAATGTATGGGTTCACTAAAATAGTTTCATACTATTTCTGCATATTTTCTGGAAGAAAATTGGTTTGCATAGGTGTTTTTGGGAATTTGAAGAAAATAAATTACAGTTTGAACATTTTAATTTATTACTTTCGGCGGGATTATTTTGGTGACTCTCTGAAGAGAATTCCACTCTAATCAAATGTATTATCCATAGTTTTTTTTTTTTAAATCATTTTAGATTTTTTTTTTCTTTACATGGTTTACAAAATGGTTTTGTATGTATATAAAATAAATAAATTATTATATAGATTTAATGTAAAATTAAAAATAAAATAGAGCCAGTGTATCAGATCCACAGAAAACAACAATATTCCAGTAATCTTAAAATACTATTTAAAATTAAGCATGATTCAGTTGTGTGCCTCTCCTTTTCCAAGAGTAGAAAAGAAAAAACAAAGCGTTCAAAAAAACAAGAGTAGTTGGTTTATCCGACTAGTTGGACAAAGCAGCTTCAAATAAACCGTTAGCGATTAGAATCAAAGAGCAACATTTTTTGAATATTTATTAGGGATACAATTTTGAAAAGAAATTGATTTAAAAGAAACATAGTAATGTCTCAAAACAACCAATATATCATTGTAATTGTCTGCCCCGTAACAAATCTGTAAAATATTCTTTAATGCCTTCTTAAATTGCATCACAAATACTCGCAAGATCGATGAATATCACAACCACCAACTAACATTGCTACTATTTTTATACACACTTTTTTGTTCGATATAATTTACTTTCTAAATTGCTCGACCATTTTCAAAGGCGATCACTTTGATTGGAGTTTCGACCAAAAGAAAAAAGAACAACTAGAAACCTACATACAAACAACATATCGAACGCGAACAAATTTGATTTTAATAGAAATTCTAAAAATCACTTCAATGCTCATTGAACGGTAGATCGATATAACATTTCCCATGAAGTATTTAAAGGCTTCTCTCACTGTCCCTCTTTTTAATTCTTTATTTAGTTCTCAGTGTCCTTTGTATTTATGATATAGCTTCGAACCAGAAAAGAATATAATAATATTAACAAAAACAACAACAGCAACAACAAATAACTTACAGGGTTTTAAATAATAGATTTTTCGAATAAATTTTGTTTTATGGATATTTTTTTGAAACCCAAAATTGCATATATAGAACTTAGTTTATATGAAATCAATGTTTAGATGTTTAACAATTTCAAGATAAATTATATATCCCAAAAATGCAAAAGAAAAAAATGGAGTAAGACAATTTGTCGAATAATGTATTGCGCTTAAGATTGTATCTGAAAATAGTTGCATTTTTAGCATGAATTCCTTATCATTGAAAATTCCCCCAAAACTGGCATGATAGAAAAATTTCGAAACAAAACCACCTACATATTAAAACGGGTTTACAAATAAATGTGGAAGAAACATATACTACTTAGTTTTGCTAAACCAAACCCCATGTTCAAGGTGAATTAATAGCAACAACCACACGGTCACACTCGAATGAATTGTTACAAGGTGCTCTGCGAGCAATTTAGCCAACCAAAGAGATTCGGATCGGTGGTGCTGGATACAAAGTATTACAGTTATATGAGGGAGATGCCCATGCGTATGTCTTTGCTAGTGGTGGTTACAAGAAATGGGACACGTGCACACAGAAAAGAAATTTTTGAGATTTTGTTAAAGCCTATCGCAAACCGGGTATAAAAAATACATTTAATGGTGTTGACATACACAAATGCGATAGAATTTATCGCAAAAGTAGATGTCAGGACCATTAAATATATGGTTTATCCCGGTTTGCGATGACATTTAGAGGTTATGTTTTCTCTGTGTGTGGTTAGTTTTTACTATTCTTTGTTCGCTTTTCCAATCTCAACTGAAATCCTCTAGTTACGATTTACGATTCCATTTCACAGCACCTGAAGCAGTTCTTGAAGACGATGGCGGCATGTTAACCGATATTTTGGGTAACCATTACCATACGACACAGATGTTGCATTCCCAAACAAATCGCTTGAGGGAGTCGCTCCAAACTACAAATTGGGCGTCATCGCAACTGCTAAAAATGTTGAAAACAGGTCAATAATCGACAAGATCCCAGATTATGTTAATAAGAAACTCAGCAAATGAACAATATAATCGTGATCAATAATTTTCGCCATACGAACTTGTTGTATTTTTATGAATTGTTACATGAAACATTTGTTTTGAACAAATAAAAAAAAACACTGCAACATTCGTCTTCTTTGTTAGCTAAATAATTTATTTTCCGATTGAGTTTTTTTTATTTTGACATGTTCATTTGAAACTTGAATTATTGAGAAAAAAAAAGAGAAGGATCGTTGTCACTGTAGCTGTACCATTTTCGCCTCCATTTGATTGTACAGAGTATCGAAAGGTGCCGTGTATTCGTTAAAAAAGCATTTGTGACAGGTAAGTTGTCCGTCTGGATGATATTCACACACGGGAATTGGTGAATTCGCTCTTGAATTCGGTGGTGTGTTCTCATCAATTTGTCGTGGAACTGGTTGAGCTTGGTTTTGCAACAATAGATTTAACTGAAGTCCTAATTGTACCATGTCTCTCTCCAGTGTGTCGATTCGCGTCGTCTTTGCTCGATCATTTCTCACCAGTGTGTCGATTCGCGTCATCATTGCTCGATTATCTCTCACCAGTTCGCCATTCTGAGTCTCAAGAGTGTCGATTCGCGTCGTC